GAGGGGCAAGAGGAGAGGGGAGGTGGGGGTGCAGGGAGAAGAGGGAGTGAAAGGAGGGGTGGGCATGAGGAAGGGGGGGTTGGAGCAAGTCATGTATGAGGGCACAGAGGGGCGTGAGGAGAACTGGGGCAGAGGGTGGTGAGGGAGTGAGCACCAGGGAAGAAGAGGGCCAGGGGGGCAGGTGTTGGGAGGGCAGGGGCAGCAAGGGAAGGAGGAGGCACCAGGAGGGTGCAGGGGGTAAGGGGACGTGCAGGTGCCAGGGGGATTGTAGAGGTGAAGCAGAAGGGCAGACACAGGGAGAGGTCTGGAGGGGAGGCACCAGAGGGCAGAGGAGAGAGGCAGGGCATGTGGGTAGAGGGAAGTGTTAGGAGAGGGTATGGGGTGGGCACAGGGGGAAGGGAAGGGTGGGTGCAGGGGTCAGAGAGGATGGGGAGTGGGGCAAGCCCCAGGAGGGCTGAGGGGAGCGAGAAGGGAAGGATCCAGAACAGCAGGAGGTTGGGGGGGGGGGCGCAGCAGGCACCAGGGGAGCAGATGCGGCGATGGAAGGGTGGGAGACATGGCAGCAGAGGGGAAAAGGGGGAGGTTTAGAACTTGGGTGCCGTGGGTGGTACATCCGAACAAGCGCCCATGACCTCAAGATTGGTGCACAAGACAAAACTCCCTCCTCTCATGGATGGAAAATCTTAGAGGGAACACAGCTCCCCACCCCGCCATAAAGGGTGTGAGCTGACGTTAACCCCTTGCTCACCAGGGGGTCAGTCTTACACCCCCTCTTCTATCACAGGCCCATTCTTTCCCCGGTGCTGGTCCTTTGGGCCGCCCCCAGCCACCGGAGCGCTTGGAGGGGCAAGAAGCAATGTCTGAACAGCAGGGGCCAGGGAGACTCACCAGGATCTTCGACGTGTAGGCAGAGTTGATGGCGACGCTGTTGACAATGAGGTTCAAGACCTTGGGCAGGATGGCTTCGGGGTCGGGGATCTGCCGGTAGTGGGTGTCGCCCATGTAGGCCTGCACCACGGTCATGCGGTTCATGGTGAGCGTGCCCGTCTTGTCCGAGCAGATGGCCGTAGCGTTGCCCATGGTCTCGCAGGCATCCAGGTGCCTCACCAGGTTGTTGTCCTTCATCATTTTCTGCAGCGGGACACAAGACAGGCAGGGAAAGGGTTACGACAGCAGGGATGCTTCTTCCTACCCTGGGGTCTTCACAGGGCACAGAGCCTGAGGTCACAGCCATGGGCTGATCCTGGAGCTAAGGGCTGAGGAGGGGGGTGGGTATTATAGCCTCTGCACTCAGCATCACCTCAGCGAGGGAGGCCATCTCCGTAGGCCCAACCCAACTCCCTACCAAGAGCCGTCCTTACCCATGCGCAGAATACACGGCTGCGCAGGACACCTGAAAATTTGGGGCACCGCTGGGTCTTAATGCCCACCCACCCTCCTCTTCCTATCTCTGTTCTGTGGCTCTGCTTCCTCCGGAAAGGATCTAGTTAGCTTAAAAGTGACATGGCCTGCCAGAGAGATTAGCTGAACCTGTGAAAGAGCCAGTCAAGTGGCAATGAAGCCATTGGACAGGCATTAGCCAACCCCAGGACTAGACGGTCAGTTTCTGAATTTACTATGTGAGTCGACAGGACCTGAGTTTAAAATTTGCTTTGGAAACATTTCATTCGTGTGTTGCTGAAGATTAGAAAATCAACATCTCTAAAAACCTGTTATCCCCTCCCCCCTGGTCTGCCATTGAGCACAGGGGCACCAGTTTAATAGTACTGCATAGCAATGTTCCCTCGATTATTTTTCCATTCACGTGCAGAATAAATTTTATGATGTGCACCAAGGCATGTGTGGATGTGCACCACCAATGGAAGCACATGTTGCTGGCGCTCTCCTGGCCATGTGTGTCCCCAGCAGTGCCTGGCTGGGCTCCTGGCTTACTCAGGACAAGAGGAAGGGAGGTTTGTCTGGGAGAGCAGGATACTGGACAGGGGAACAGCAGCAAAGCGATTCAGAGTCCTTCTCCTCACCCGGCTGCTAATGCGGCCCAGCCTCACTGCCAAACAGATGGGGAAAACAAGCCTCCATCTTCTCGGCCTCTGGCCTTGCAGTGGAGAAAGGAAACCCACCGCCCTCAGGGCAAACAGTCACCCACGTGTTCCCTGCCCAAGTTGCGGCCCCACCTTGACGGAGTAGGCCAAGGAGATGGTGACAGCCAGCGGCAAGCCCTCCGGCACGGCCACCACCAGCACGGTGACGCCGATGATGAAGAACTTGACGAAGTACTGGATGTAGATGGGGGTGCACTCCGCCAGCCAGGATCGGCGCTGCACCCCGAAGGTGTCGATCACAAAGTACAGCACCAGGATGATGACCGTGATGGCCGACATGATCAACCCTAGGGGAGGAGACAGGTGAGAGACCAGCAGCGCCTGAAGCCACCTCCTCGTCCACCGCAAGAGGCACCCCCCCACACTCCCAGGCTGGGAAAGCTGCTCTGATAGGAGTTTGCCCTGCTCCCCCGGGCCTTGAACCCTGCTGAGGCAGCCTGTGCAGCCCTGGCCATCCACAGCAAAACCTGCCCCGACAATTCAATGTGTTTGTAGCAGGGTCTCTGTGCCCACGGACTCAGCCAGCAGAGAGGCCTGCAGGCCAGGCCTGAGGGGTGTGGGACCCCAGGGCTGGAATAGCCGAGGGGCTGCTGGTGACCGTGGATATGGAGGACGGGAGCATAGCAGGGGAGAGCGGAGTTGAGGATTGAGCAGAGCTGGGTGTCGAACGTGGACGGGCCAATATACGAGGCAGGAGGGGGCGTTGCCTTCCCAAACTGCCAGCCTGGTCCCGCCCACACCCCGCCCCCAGAACCCCTATGGTAGGTGTACTGGGGGCAGAGTGTTGCTGCCCCCAAGCATCTTTCGTTCCAATGCTCTGGGGCCAGGGAAGCCAGTGCCGTACCCCACCCCACTGCTCCGTGATGCCAGAGGGCGGGGCCTGGACAGATGGGATGAGGTTGGGGGCTTGCCCCCCCCTCCAAGCTCTACCTTCACCCGCTGCCCATGGTGTAGAATCAGCAGAGAAGGGCCTAGAACGTACCCCGGCAGTAACAGCAGGGTGAACCGTCGGGAGGACGGGGCATCAGCCAAGCAGAGGGTGCAGCTCCAAGGCTGGACCAGCAGGAGGCACTTGACACAGCAGCCCCACCTCACCCTGTGCCAGCCTCTGGCAGAAAGCTTTCTGTCCCCGCCAGCCACAGACACTACACCTCGTGCAACATCCTAGCCCCGCAGCGGCACCGGGGAGAGGCCCAGCGTGGCGCTGTCTGAGAGCGGAGATCCGCCCTCCCGCTACTCACCTGCCTTCCCAATCTGCACAGCCAGGCGGGTCAGCTTCCCCTGCAGCACCGATTTCTCCTTCTTTGGGACCTTCACCTTCTTCTTCTCCTCATTCTCCACCCCTTCCTGGCTCTTCAGGGGCTGGATCTCCAGGGCCACGCCATCCTGAGTTTTAGCTACAGCCCGGGGGGCAAAAGAGACACAGTGGGTGAATGGGAGGGGCAGTGGGGGAGAAGCTTTTGACGCCATTGACAAGAGAGATGGTGGAGGGAGAGAGAGAGAAACCTAGAGCAAAAAAGACTCCCCGCCTCCCCCGTGTGCCCACAACCGGCACATACTAAGGTTAAGGCCTACACAGTCCCAGAGAGCCTGCCCCACAGAGCAAGATGCTGGTACAGCTCATGGCATCTTCTCTCCCTTGCCCTCCCTGCCCCACTTCCCAGGTAAAGAAAACGTGTCCCTACTTGGCTACTCCTGGGGAGGAAGGACAACCTTACTAAGTTGTGGGGCTCCTGGGCTCTATTCCCAGCTCTGCCAGTGGGGGCGGTCTTGGGCAAGAGTCCCTTTGCTGCCTCAGTTTACCCCTCTAAAATGCAGCTAACAATACTTACCCTGCAGGGTTGTGTTAGAATTAATTTGCTAAGTGTTTAAGTCCTTTGAATACAGGATTATCGGAATAGCCAGGCTGGATCGGATTACAGGATAATCCAGGATTGTGGCCAGAAGCACAAGCTACTTTGGAGGAAGGTGCAGGAATCCCTACCGAAGGTCATTATGAAATACCTTGATGTTTCCTCCTAGCCCCCACCTGAAGCCACTTTACGCCCTGAAGCATGATAGTTTAGATCCCTTCCAAAAGGCTTGGTCATCTTTGATTGTACATTTTATAACACCAGATAATCATCATGAATGTGCTGTGCTTTCTGGAATGCTGCTAATCACTCAGCCTCCAAGAGACAGTGGCAATGAGTTCCACAAGTCAACATCACTCTATGTAACAGTATTTCCTTTTCTCTGCTCCCGATTTAGGCATGTGCCAAGGCTGATCTCCAACACCTTCGCGGAAACTCTGTGGAGTCACTTTACGACGCAGACAGCATTCGAGAGGGTGGAGTGGAGGGGGGAGTTAAGGATTGGGATGGAGACTGACTCACTAATGTAGAGGAGTGAACCGACTCCTTTACCCTCAGCCCTCTGGGATCCAGCCCACAAATTTCTTTGAATGGATCTATGCTGGTCTACATTAGCTGAGTATTTGAACCCCAAAAGCCCCAACACAACAGAAAGTTTGTGTGTGTAGAGATGAGTAGAACATCCCACCAAATTAATAGAAGTTATTTGGCTTCTTCTCAGTTCTTGGGTCATTTGGGTTTTCTAAACTCAATCAGAAAGCAAGGCTTTGCACAGAACCAAACCTGGCTATTTCAGAGCAAATTCCCCTTTCTAGTCTCCAGCAAAGTATTACAGATTCAGAAGAACTCACACGGTTGCTCCAAAATAGTGAGCTCCATGGTTAGGACTTACAGACAGGACAGAAACAGGGGGAAACCCCCTCCCCCCCCCGCCCAAAAAAACAAAACCCCCACAGAACACCCAAAATAACCCGACATGTCAGTTTGGAAGAAGGAAACGCAAACTGCTGAGAGAAGAGAGAGAGAGAGAGAGAGGTGGAGAAACAGATAGGTGCAGAAATGGGCTTCCTCTACACAGCCTGGAAAGAACAGTGTGAGAAACATACTGGAGAGTAGACGCTCACTTTGATTCAAAAAGGCCATGAGAAGAACAGGGTGTAACAGTTGCACAGGTCAGATCCACCACCGATCCAGGTCTAGCCATAGAATCAGACTTGCAGGGGGGTAGCAGCTCTTTGTGCTCACAGAATTAAAACCCCAGCCTTCCCCGCCCGCCTTTTGCCACCGAGCGCTCTCCTCACTAGGCTCCATGTTCCCAATCAATCATCCAGGCACAGCAGAGGGGAACCGCTGGCTGCTGTACTGTGGAAAAATCCCACGTGATCGATTTTGCATGAGTACAAGGAGGTGGCAGAAACTGAAACCACAGATCAGAGACAGGGGAGAACCATCCAGGGCAGATCTGGTCCCAATGGTTTATTCTCCAGGGCTATATCTAGGCCGATGTGAAAACATCCTAGCCTAGAACAATGAGGCTTCCCTTCTTTCACCTTCCTTGCCCCACAGATCTCACTGTGCTGATTTTTGTTAGACTTTTCTCCCAAAAGAGGCCAGGTTGCCTCATGGGACACAGAATAAACCATCATCTCCCCTCTCTGCACATGATGAAATTCCCCCCAAACTCTACAATGAGACGTCTAGGCTGTCAGAGGGGGCTACAATTCCAGCAGCACAGACTGTGGGGTTGGAGCCCGGCCCCTAGTTGGAGAGGACGGCTTGGGGACAATGTTTCCTGTAATTTTTTCCATCCCTGTGCAGAATGAATTTTGTTCTGTGCACCGAGGCATGTGCAAATGTGCACCACCCATAGAAACACAGGCTGTGGGAAGTAGTGGGCACTTTGCTAATCAGCTGGGCAGCTTTTGAATCTCTCCTGGGCAGCCACCCAAGCGCTCAGCTTACAGGAACGCTGCTCGGGGGTAAGAAAACGTGGAGGTTAGCACTGTGCGGACTGTTACACCCTCTTCCGGGACAACAAGGCGAGATTCCCGCTGCAGCGGCGAAGAGCACAGACTCATGGGAAGAAGGAACGAAGGAGGAATGCTCGGTAGTTAGTGTGGTGCTGGTTCAAAGGATGGAGAGAGGCTGGTTACCTTTGTTGCGATTTTCAGGGGCTCCTGCTTTTTTACCTGTTCAGACAAAGAGAAAAAGGGTGGAGCGCTGAGCACACGGTTCTTGACATTAACGTCCAGGCTGGCGGGATGCCCTGGGTGCGCTCTACGTTGGCACTCACATGCCAGGAATCCCGCACACCGCACAGCAGCAGGGCTTCATCGAATTGTGACCAGGACTCAGGCGGTGAAAGGTGCCTCCCGCCCCTAACAGCCAACGAAACTAGCCCACCTCTCCCTGCTGCTGTAAGGAGCGTGTAGCCATGGGGAAAGGGGAAGCTTCTGTCAGAGGAAGTCACTGGGGACAGAAGAACATCAGGCGCCATGGGGGCTCGGTTCTCTGCTCTGCCACAGACGACGCCCCGTGCCTCAGTTTCCCCATCTTTGAAATGGGGAGATACGACTCCACTTCTCCCACCTTTGGTCTCATCTCTTTAGTATGTGAGCTCACTCCTCCTGACTGGGGCTGCCTATGTGTTTGTACCGCACCTAGTGCAAAGAGAACCTGATCTCAGCTAGGGCATGCAGGTGTGGCTAGACGGAACGTAAGCCAGTCCGAGCTGCAGAACGCAGGCCGGAGTTCCACCCAGTGGCTTCTGCACTGAGCCCAATGAGGTGGAGAAGTTCTTTTAGACCCACACCCAATTTCCGGCTACCACAACACTCCATCTGGTTAGAAACCTCATTTCCAGTTACCGCAGCACAGATTTACTGAACTACTTTTTTTCAAGAGCTTGACTGTCTGTCCGTCTGCTCAAGAACTCCTAAATGGTAAGAGCTAGGACCACCAAATTTGGTAGCCAGCTGCCTTTTATAGCTTAAACCAAGGTAAGGATTTGGTTATGCCAGGGAAATGGGATGTGCCAGGAATGGGATTGCTTCCCATAAAAAAAAGACAATCACCAGGCAGGTAAAAGGGGCTGGCTGGGAGGTGCCCCCGACCGCATCCAGGACTGCCCCTATCCCAAACCTCCTACCCCAGGTGCTTTTTAGGGAGGGTGGTTGAAGTTCCCCCCCTCCCATTCATATGGGGACATCGCTGGCTGTTCCCCTTCATTAGGGAGCCAGGAGAAAGTTCACTGTTTTCTGCGTTCCTCATTCTGGCTGAGGAGCGCTGGGGCAGATGAACCTGACCGTGCCCAGCCAGGAGGACATGCCCCTCTCCCCCTGCTGTGCTTGCTGGAGCTGCAATGGCCATGGGGAGGCGCTTTTCCCCTGGCCCCAAGCTGCTGCAGTGAGAGAGGGCTGGGGAGTTCTCTTCCCAGGGCAGCCTGCAGCCTGAGCCCCTCCTCCCCAGCCCCACCCCAAAGCAATGATTCAAATGAAGCCTGGACATTTTCATTTTATTTTCCAAAAGACAGAGATGAACGGCGTTAAGGACCCGAGCAACGCCGGGCAAATCTTCTAGCAGTCTGCTAACGGAACAGTCCTAGACTTCGTTTGGAAGCTCTTTTGAGGCAGGGGCTGTCTTTGTTCTGCCCATGTACAGCGGCTAGCACAATGGGCCCCAGAGCTGTGAGTATGGGTGCTCCTGTGGTACAAAGAAGAGCAGCTGCAAACAAATCCGCATGGCAGGACGAATGAGTGCCGCCTGGTGGGCCTGGAGCTGGGGCTCTTTCCCCGGACACCCTCCCACCCAGTGACACAGAGGACTGGGCCCTGAGAAACACCCCCCTTGGTCCACCCACCCCCTTGCTGTCAACATGTGTGGGCCGCAGCACGCGTGACGTCAAGCCAGACTTCACCTGTCAGTCCATGCGGCAGCCCAGGGACGGGGAAATGCCAAGTGGCATTTAGGACACAGCATCAATAAACCGGGTGCCATTTCCTGTAACAGCAGGAAAAACGAGGCCCAAGATCGTGAGCAGGCGGGATTCCCTGCAGACAGGCGCTACGGGAGCGTCTGGCTCACAGGAGGGGAGACTCTACCGCATCCTCGGTAATCTTTCGGACAGGCGTTGTCCGTTAGCATCAGAAGGGGAGATCCCAGCATCCACTCTCTTTTCCTAATCCCCAGAGGGCTCGCCGAAGCGGGGTGGAGAGCACAGAGGGCCTGTTCCGCTGACGGCCAAAGAGGGAGCATCGGCCTGCTTTGATGCATTGGAGAGGGTCCAGTGGAGGGTGACCAAAATGATGAGGGGGCTGGAGCCCATGACCTACAAGGAGAGGCTGAGGGAGTTGGGTCTATTTAGTCTGCAGAAGAGAAGAGTGAGGGGGGATTTGATAGCAGCCTTCAACTTCCTGAAGGGAGGGTCCAAAGAGGATGGAGAAAGGCTGTTCTCAGTAGTGACAGATGGCAGAACAAGGAGCAATGGTCTCAAGTTGTGGTGGGAGAGGTCCCGGTTGGATATTAGGAAAAACTATTTCCCTAGAAGGGTGGTGAAGCACTAGAATGGGTTCCCTAGGAAAGTAGTGGAGTCTCCATCCCTAGAGGTGTTTAAGTCTCAGCTTGACAAAGCCCTGGCTGGGTTGATTTAGTTGGAATTGATCCTGCCTTGGGCAGGGGGCTGGACTTGATGACTCCTGAGGTCTCTTCCAGCTCTATGGTTCTATGATAAGACACATACCTTCCACCACTGACACCTTTGCCGCTACCTGGGAGCAAGGCGGAAGCAGATATTTTGGAACCTAGCACCCTCAGCTGGTGTAAACTGGTGTCGATCCTGGACTCCCACAGACCAAAGCTGGATTTACAGCAGCTGGGGGGGCTGAGTCACTGTCTGATTTCGGCATGGCAGCACAAGCCCAGGAGGGTCGAGTGACCCCCCCGATCTGCTAGGCACCAAATGACACAGGCACGATGTGCCCGCGGGCTGTGTTCCCGCTCAGCCCCCCGTCTCTGTGCAAAGGCAGATGTGAGTAGCATAGCTGGCATGTCTAGGGAAGGAGGGGGGCAGTCACTTGTCCTGAGACGGGGAAAACACCCACGTCAGAGAAGGTGGTGAGTGGAGGGAGTTTTAGACTGTATGGGAGCCTTGCCGCTCTCCCCTCCAACTCCAGCTCCTGAGAGAAGGTTCTCCCAAAACACAGGGATGCTTTGTCTTGGTACCGCCAACCTGGCAGGGATGCTGCATTTATTGAGCTGCCCCCAAAGGCCACTGTGCCTCAAGGTGGCCCCGCAACACCCCCAAGATGAGCTCCTAGATCCTTCAGGCAGCCCGTATGGCGAGCGGGGCGTGTGTGGGTTGTCTCGGGGCCCTAGAGGCCTCTCAAGGGAGGCGGCGCGGTTTGGAGCCATCCGTGGCTGACAGGGGCTGGGGCGGAGGGAGCGGAATGAGCAGCAAGACGCGGGCGAGGTGGCAGGGAGGCGTCTGTGGATTCTGGCCCAGTCGATGCTGTGTCGGTGAGCGGCACACCCTGCTGAGCTGTGCTCTTCTCTTGCCCCACACGCTGCCGCGCCTCGGCGTGCAGTCAGCATCCAGAACACAAGGGATTCGGACAAGGGCACTGATAGGCGCAGTGTGCCCCTCCCGTCACCTGGCACCAGCCAACAGAGAGGCGGGCTAAACCCTCTAATTACAAGGCCCCCCGGCTCTTAGCTGCAGCAAAAGGGCAGCCAAGACGGGAATGAGTCCAAGGTTTGCAATGTAGTGTGGGGCAGGGATTCCCCCGCCCGCCGAAGTCAGGAAGCTGGGAGCGACCCTCCGCCCGCAGGAACTCCTACAGCAGAGCGAAGCAAGTCAACCTAGCCGTCCTTCCCCTCCCACACTGCCAGGTCAACACTTGGGGGAGGGGAGTCGGTCTTTGGATGAAAACGAGAGAGAAAACAAATGGAGAGAAAGAAAGACGCTGCGGGTGAAGCTCGAGTGCTGGACTTTCTGGAGGACATGGACCATTCCAGCTATCTGTCACCTCCCTCTACGGGGTCAGAACAATTGTGACCCCACTGCCAACCTCCTCACCAAAGCCAGCCCTCTGATAGAAACTCCAGAGTCACTCTCATTCTGCCTGTCAAACCCTGCCCCGCACAGGCTCCCGAGCTGCAGCGGGATGGAGACAGAGCGACGAAGGGTGAGTCACAAAGGAGGCACTGGAAGGGGAGCCCAAGCAGAGGCCCCCAAACACGGAAGGGGCCTTCATATGCTGTGCGTTCCCTGGACTCGCTGCATCATGGCCTGCTGGTGGTAGAAGTGGGATCCCCAGCTTTGTCTCCCAGGCTGTGTCTACATTGCACCCCTTTTCCGGAAAAGGGATGCAGATTAGACACTTCGGAATTGCAAATGCCGCGGGGGATTTAAATATCCCCCGCGGCATTTGCATTTACATGGCTGCCGCTTTTTTCCGGCTCAGGGTTTTGCCGGAGAAAAGCGCCAGTCTAGAAGTGACATTCCAGAAAATAAACCCTTTTCCGGAGGATCCTTTATTCCTACTTTCAAGGAAAATCACGTCTAGACTGGCGCTTTTCTCCGGCAAAACCCTGAGCCGGAAAAAAGCGGCAGGCATGTAAATGCAAATGCCGCGGGGGATATTTAAATCCCCCGGAGCCGGAAAAAAGCGGCAGCCATGTAAATGCAAATGCCACAGGGGATATTTAAATCCCCCGCGGCATTTGCAATTCCGAAGTGTCTAATCTGTATCCCTTTTCCGGAAAAGGGGTGCAGTGTAGACACAGCCCCAATGTTTAATAGGCCCAGCTTGGAACTCTCACGAACAGGACTGTGTGTTCCTGGTCAGCCATGGCCACAGCTGACTGCATTCCAGGAGATGCTTCCCAAAAAGAAAAACCTGGGCTCCCGAAGAGCTCCTTACCTTTCTTCACTTTTTTCTCCTCGTCACCTTCTCCCGCCCCCAGAAGAGTGAAGATGATTCCTGTTTGCGAGTTGATGCCCACGGCTGTCACTAGCATGCGTCCGGAGCCCTCCATCACATGGGTACCTGGCCAGGGGAATGAAACATCAAGGGAGATGGGAAAATCAGGAGGTCACCAAATGAAATGAATAGGTAGCAGGTTTAAAACAAACACAAGGAAGTATTTCTTCACACAGTCAACCTGTGGAACTCCTTGCTAGATGATGTTGTGAAGGCCAAGTCTGTAACCGGGTTCAAAAAAAAGCTAGATAAATTCACAGAGGATAAGTCCATCAGTGGCTATTAGCCAGGATAGGTAGGAATCGTGTTCCTAGCCTCTGTTTGTCAGAAGCTGGAAATGGCCACTGTTGGCAGACAGGATACTGAGCTAGATGGACCTTTGGTCTGGCCGTTCTTATGTTCTTAAGAAGAGACGTGAACAAGTCGACTTCCAGAATATTTTAACACAAGAAACTGCCTCAGGGGAATCCGGCACGGTGCCTGTCACTTCGGGGTCATGGATTCAAATATAGCCCAGGCCAACAGAGCCCCAAAGTTATTCCTATAACAATGGCTCCTCGGGGCCTCAGTTTAAGTTACGTAAGCGGATCCCATTCCAGGTTCTCATGGAACAGGCATCGTCATCACAACTGACCTCTTGTCAGCAGAGAACCCAAGGAGAGAATGGCCCGAGAGAGAACCCCCCACTAGAAGGGGTCCCATCAGTCAAGCTAGGTCCTCCTCCCCAATCCCCATAGAAGCCACGTGCCACCGCAGTACAGAAACCTCTCCAGGGCAGGGTGGAGACACTGGCCAGGAGCAACGCGCAATGGAAGCTTGGCTTTGCTGCTGCCCATCCTGCCCCTGCCCTGGAAGGGGATTTGCTCTCCAAGGTTGGCTGTCCATCACCTATATTTCGCCCCACAGGAGAAACCAAGCCCATTCTTGGCCTGTCCGGTAGCTGCGGGGCCACTCTACAGGTGCCGTGCTAGGACCATGAATGGATGGCAAAGATCAGGCCCTCTCCTGCTGTCCAGGCTCCAGGGATGGGCACGCGGAACGGGGTCTAACGTGAGCCGGCACTGGGAGGGTACCAGGACGGCATAGTCTGAACGCCAAAGCAGCCAGAGGTTAAGTAGCTGGCTGGGGTTTCCAGCCCAATCGAGAAAGGCTTGGGTCACAGGTCACCTCTGGAGGCCTCACCTGATAGCAGCATGGGGTCTTTCTCCAGGGATTTCTTGACCTGGTCTGACTCCCCGGTCAGAGAGCTCTCGTCGATCTTCAGATCGTTACCTTGGATCAGGATCCCATCCGAGGGCAGCAGATCACCTGAGAGAGGAGGGAACATGTCACAAGCCCATCCGGGGCCGGCAGAAAGCTCGTCCCTGCCCTTTTCTCAGGCCGCAGCTGAGGGGGCCCCTTTGGGGACGAGGCCCGAAGGATTCCTGGTGTCAGGGAGATCCCCCAGGGCCAACGGTGGAAAGAGAAGACAAGACGCGAGCAGGCACCGTGCTGCCTGTCCAAGCCCGTCCTTATGGCGTAGCTGTGGAGACGAACTCCCGTGGCGGGCAGGGATGGACAGCACGGGGGGGTGGCTGACTGGAGAGCACAATGAACACATAATCCAAAGCAAAAACAACCCGGCGAGGCCCGCTGGGTAAGTGGCTGCAGCACAAGAGGCCCGCCACAGAGCTCAGCGTAGCACCAACCGCTGCCTCTGTGCATGAGGAGCCCAGGGCAAAAGTTGGCTAGGAGAATGGAGTTAGAGTCAGAGACGCCCTCCTCCCGGGATACCCACCCCTCTCGGTAGGGCCCTACCACAGTCACCATGTATTTTGGTCAATGTCACAGGCCCGGGGTTTGAAAGGTGGTACATTTCGTGATGCAGCTATTTAAGTCAGAAATGTCACAGCATTGTCACTGGGGGGCTCGTGCCCCAAAAAGGAGTTGTGTGTGTGTGTGTGGGGGGGAATTGCAAGGTGATTGTAAAGGGGTTGCACTATTCCCACCCTCACTTCTACGCTACTTCCTTCTGCGCGGCTGCTGGCCAAAATTCCAACCACTGCTCTCCCGTTGCCCAGCGCTGACGGCAGTGCAGAAAAGGGTGCCAACGTCCCGACCTTCCTGAAACCCACCTCACGATCCCCCTGCAACTCCCCTTGGATCAGGACCCCCCGTTTGAGAAATGCTGCTCTCCCTCGGGAAAGCTGCCTGGTATCTGGGAAAAGCCCACGAAAGGACTGACTTTGTGGGAGGACACCAGATTTCATGCGTTTCGCGTGGCTGTGAATTTGGGAGGGCCCTACTTACAGGTCAGGACTGAGGTGGGCTGGGACAAGTGGGTACTGTCTGTCCAGCAAAGAAGGCAGCAGGAGGCTACGTTTCCACTGCAGACAGCTCCATGACTGAACGGACTCCAGGCGGGAAGGGGAAGGTGCGAGACAGACACAGGAGCGGGGAGGAGTGTCTACACTGGCAAGCTCAGCTCTCTGCCCACCGCGCCTTCCCCTGCCACTCACCGTATTTGATCTGCGCGATGTCGCCCACCACGATCTCGGCCACGGGGATCTGGATCACCTGCCCCTTGCGGATGACCGTGAACTTCTGCTCCTGCTCGATGCGGCTCTGGAGGCCCCGAAACTGCTTCTCTTTGCTCCAGTCGTTGAAGGCCGTCACCAGCACCACGATGATCACCGAGAAGAGAATGGCTGCCCCCTCGATCCAGCCGGCCTGCGCCTCCCCCTCGTCCTCCGCGCCCGCCGTGGTTTGGCCGCACACTGCCGCGGGGCAGGAAGCACAGAGAGGAGGAAAAGTCAGTCCCGCACGGGACAGCTTGGTGCAGCTGTCAGCGTGTGGCACAGCTGGAAGGCCTACGTACAGACACATGCCTTCTGTCCCTTTCTCCCACAAGTCACCCCCTTCGGTGTCCCCTTCCCTACGGGACAGCCCACTACCCATCCAGCTGTTTCTGCACAGCAGTTATTTCGGCAGAGGCTGGGCAAGCCTTTGGAGCAGCGGCCTGGGTCTAGCCCCATTTCTGACATGCCCTCTCTAGGCGTCACCGTCGGGACGAGTCACCAGCTCATAAGAACATAAGAGCGGCCATACTGGGTCAGACCAAAGGTCCATCTAGCCCAGTAGCCTGTCTGCCGACAGTGGCCAACACCAGGTGCCCCAGAGAGGGTGGACCGAAGACAATGATCAAGTGATTTGTCTCCTGCCATCCCTCTCCAGCCTCTGACAAACAGAGGCCAGGGACATCACTTTCCCCCACTGTTATCCCAGTTTGACACTTAAAAACAGCCAGTGTCTAGAGCTTGCGCCCCTGCCCTGGACCACAGAATGTCAGGTCCAGAGGCTCATTGCTGCGGGGGTATTAGGTAACCCATGGGGGTGCTAAGGCAGCTCCCTGCCGGTCCTGCACTGCAGACTGCGCTGCATCTCAGAAGTGGCTGGCAACAGGCCCAGCTCCTAGATGGGGGAAGGGGGGAGAGCGCCCAGGGTTGCTCGCACTGCCTCTGCCCTAAGCACTAGCTCTGATCTCCCATGGGCTGGGAACCTGCTGCTGGCTGCTTCTGGGGGCAGCCTGGTCTGCAGTGTCAGGAGAGGCAGGAAGCTGCTTTAGCGCCGCCCCCCTCCCCCCCCGCGCCCCTGACCACTCAAAGTAAACCCCTCCTGCCCCAGCCCTGACCCCTTGCAAAGCCGGAGCCCCCTCCTACAGCCCAAAATACCTCCTCGGCCCCACCCGCACTCCAGTCACGTTATGTTGGGTCGCGGCATCAACAATTTTCTTCAACTGGGTCATGAGAAAAACAGTTTGAAAACCGCTGCGCTAAGGAACAAACCAGCAACCCATGCACACGAAGCAAGCTCCATTACTGAGCCCCTGCGGAGAACTTTGCAACCCGTAACCAATTCATCCTCACAGAGCAAGGCCCCGGCTTACAAAGGCTCAATGAAGTGCCTTGCTCCCTCCCCCCCACACCACCCAGAGGCGCCCCCTCAGAGCTGGAATTAAGAGTATGGGGGCCAGACCACCCACCTCCGCCCACGCGCCAAGGACACGGACAGAGGCGTGACCGAGACAGGACAATGATCATGCAGTAGGATGAGGCGGTTCGGGGGGCCATTTTGTCTTATCTGTGGTGTGTGCCTGTGCATGGCGATCTGGCCGGGCTAGGCTATACAGACCACCGCTAATATCGAAGCAGACGAGTACGTATGCTGTGGGGGCTCAGTGGCAGACAGAGCCTTCGCACACACAGGTCAATAGGCACCCCAGCATGGATACATGACAGGCCCCGAGAACCTGCTCTAGACACAGCGCGGCACAGCCAGATGACCGGCTGCAGGCTCCTCCTCCCTGAAAGCTTCCGGCGCTGGCGGGAAGGGGCCCGCTCCGAGTCCTGTCAGAGTCAATGGAGTCACTCGCCCTGCCCTGGGTGGGAGGCGGGTCAGCTGGACGGAGGGCCCCCGCAGGCTGGTCTGTTCTTTGGGGGGCACAGCTGCAGTCACACCAGCAAAGGCCTCCGTTTACCTAGATACCCCCCAAGCCCCAGGCACTCCATCAGTCAAGCCCCTCCTCTGCTCTTCAGCCTATTGCTCCTGGAGCCTATTTCTCACGGGGTCTCCGATTGGGATGATTTTGCTCCCTCCGGCCAAGAGCAGAATTTGTCCCCGCCCCTCTCCTTTCTCAGCCCATCCAGCCAAGCCTGCCTAGTTTCCTTGTGTGCGGAGCTCTGATTTATTTCCATCCATAAGCTGGTGCAGAGACACACGATGGGAGACAGGCTGCAGCTTCCTCTCCCCTCTAGGACAGAAACTCAGCTCTGTTATCCAGTGTGCAAAGTCCTGGCTGCCAAACCCCACCACGCCCTAGAGTCTCACAGACAACACCCGGCACCCTTTAGCAGCAGGGGCTTTCAAACTTTGTTTCTCAGGACCCAGTTGAAGAACACTGTTGAGGCCATGACCCAACATAATTTGGCTGGAGTGTGGGCTCCGGGGTGGGGCTGAGGGTGGGAGCTTTGGCCTGTAGGAGGGGACTCCGGCTTTGGTGGGGGTCAGGGCTAGGGCAGGAGGGGCTTATCTTGAGTGGCTCCCACTCAGCAGTGCAGCTGGGGGGCTAAGGCAGCTTCCTGCCTCTCCTGGCACCACAGACCATGCTCCCCCCGGAAGCAGCCAGCAGCAGGTTCCCAGCCAATGGGAGGGCAGAGCTAGTGCTCGGGGCAGGGGCAGGGGCAGTGCACGGAGCCCGGTGCGCTCCTCTCGCTCCTCCCCAACAAACCAGGCCTATTGCCAGCTGCTTCTGGGGCGCAGCACACTGTGCAGTGCAGGACGGGCAGGGAGCTGCCTTCGCACCCCCACTGCTCACCTGATCCCCCTGCAGTAACGAGACCCAGCACCTGAGATTTCACCCCCCAATAATGGGTCACAACCCACAGTTTGAAAACCACTATGGCTCATGCCGCTGACTTCCCCTTGCAGAGACTACAACACTCAAAAGACGGCTCTCATATCTTTCTGCATAGCCTAAACCATCTCAGAGCACTCTCCAGTTCCCTATTACCAGGCGTCTTCACCCTCCACCCCTCAGTTGCAGCTGCTTCCGAGGTGGAGCCTGGATGGTGTTTAACAGGGCATTGCACTAAGTGAATCCTGTATCTCCCTGACAGTGCAAGGGGCAGGGAATTAATGTCTATGTCTTAGCCACCCTTTTTCTCTATGGGCCTGCCCGAAAGCCCGTTCAGGGTTCATGGGAAGCTTTCCATTCGCTCCCACAGGCTTTGGATCAGGTCACAGATGTTCAGGTGTTCTGCCTCACCCAGCACTGTAGCATCTAGCTACCCAGCGGGAGAGGTGTGCGGAGTAGGGATGTTAAAATGCGTCGATTTTGTGGTAAATGTGTTACCACTGAAAATTTCAGCGGTTACATGTCTACACACAGCAAGGCAGGTGGGAGCCAATGCTCACAGGGAGCGGGCTTTTAAGCCCAGCACCGGCTCCCACTTGCCCCCACCTTGCTGCCTCAGATACAGAGGCAGCAAAGCAATGCGGGAGAAGCGGGGGGCTGTGTATAACTGTGAGGGTTAACCGGCGAGCTCAGGCTTAGCCAGATACTCAGGTACATGTTCACATCCCTCATGCTGAGACTGGAGGGAAAGCAAACGGGCAAGAAAACAGTCAAGATATCAGCTGTATGTTAGAGATCTCAGCTAGGGGAAATCTGTCAGAGCACATCTACACTAGGAAACTATTTTGAAATATCCAAAATCGACATAACTCCCGATTTAACAAAATCAAAATAGCGTGACCCCATTACGGGGAAGCCTCAAAATGAGTCTGAGGCAGGCGCCGTAATGTGGACGCGCTACCTCGACTTAGGTCCCCAGGAAGCACTGGGGAGAAATTTGAACGACTCTGGGGAGTCGTTATTTCGAAACAGCGGCATCGGAGAGTCCACACTCCCGCTATTTCAAAGTAACTATTTTGAGATTAGCGTTATTCCCCGAGGAAAGCAGGAGGACAGATTTCGAAATAACGGGCTTGGTCGTGTGGACGCCCTGCTTATAAATTCAACCTAAGGGGCGTTATTTTGAAATAAAGCCCGAGTGTAGACCAGGGCTCAATCAGGTTGCATGTGCGCTGAGACAGGGGTAGGGAGGGCGAAGGGAAGACCAGATCCCCCTCAACTGGTGCAAATCCACTGACACCATTGGGCCAAATCCCCAGCCGGTGCAAATCCAGATAGCTCCAGTGACGCAGGTGCAACGAGAGTCTCCCCAGTCAAGGACGGAGGCCAAAGGGGAAGCCTAGAGCAGCGACCACAAAGCCTTTTCGGGAATGCACGTGAAACAGCCCAGGGGATACAACAGGGCAGCTCCTGGACTGAACGTTCCGGGGGACTCTGCTCCCGCCCCGCCCACCCTGCGGCAGGGCACTCACATTCGTTGTCGCCGCCTGGCGGGTGATAGAACGACAGGCCCAGGGAGATGATGGCTGCGATTTCCAAGATGATCAGCGTGACGTCCTGAAGCGCCTCCCAGACTAACTGCAGGAAGGTCTTGGCCTTTTTAGGCGGGATGAAGTTCTGGCCGAAGACCTGCCTCCGCTTCTCCAGATCCGCGGGGTTCCCAGACAAGCCTGGAGAGGGAGGCAAGGAGGAGAGGGAGGAGAGGTGAGGGGAGACAAGTAACCTGCCACCCCAACCCCTGCAGCTGACACATCACCCTCAGACATCCCTGGATCCCTTCGTTCTCCAGCACTTTCTTCGGGGTTTGGATCACAGCCCATTGGGTTGGGTGCCATACAGACTAGGGATGTGAACAGGTAACTGGTTAGCTGGTACCGGGAGCAGCTCCCCACCCATGGCTCCCTGCGGGCGGGGAGCTGCTCCCTGCCACCCCAACCCCTGCAGCTGACACATCACCCTCAGACATCCCTGGATCCCTTCGTTCTCCAGCACTTTCTTCGGGGTTTGGATCACAGCCCATTGGGTTGGGTGCCATACAGACTAGGGATGTGAACAGGTAACTGGTTAGCTGGTACCGGGAGCAGCTCCCCACCCATGGCTCCCTGCGGGCGGGGAGCTGCTCCAGCCCACCTTGGGCACAGTGGGGCCAGGAGCAGGAGCCAGCAGCCTGAAGCACAGGGGGTTGGCAGAGGTAGCCGGATCCCACTTAACTGATTAACTGGGATTTTACATCCCTAGAGACAAACATTTTGATAGAGGAATTCTCACAAGAAGTTGGGTTTGCTACAGTGATAAGAGAACCCTTCCCACCACTGTACTAAAGGCTAGCTTACACTAGATGTGCCACATCAGCCTGTAAACTGAGCGCAGGGGCGGCTGCCAGGGGAGAGTCACATGCCACCCAACTGATTAGTAGAGTGCCCAGCGCCAGCAGCGAGTGGTGCACAACTTCATATGCCTTGGTGCACACAACAAAATTTATTCCACACACAGATGGTCAGAATTAGAGGGAACATTGCTACCCACTGGACTGCACTGCTGCTTTATTCTGTTACCCCCACGCAGGTGCTTTTCTGGCCGGGCCTCCCCAGCACACAACAGCAGAGGGCGCTCCGGCCCTGAAACGATAAGGCTTCCTCCAGCGGCAGCAAACAGCACTGATTTGCAGGGAGGTTACAAGTGCCCAAGGTGCCCTCAGGGACCAGCCAGTCCAGCTGGGGCCAGGTGGCTGATTTCCCTGGGATGATGCAGCAAGAGGGAGACCTGGGAATCCCCTCTACGTTCTCCATGACCTCAGAGACTGGCCTGGGACCCAAGAGCAGGCGGAGGGGGTCATGAGGCCAGAGGGTGGCTTTACTCTGGTTCCCAGCTGTAATCCCCCCACAGCACGGCAGGCTGATCCGGGGAGCGTGGGCCTGGTGAGCAAAGGGATGGGAGAGGAGGAAGCCACCAATAGCCATGTGCAGGTGTGACCCGAGGGAGCATCCCTACATGTATGCCCAAGTGGCGAAGACACGCTGGCCGTGCTGTCTGCGCTCGGGCCGGGTAGGGGGCTGAGCTGCGAGGCTGACGACAGTGCAGCTCAGCAATGGGCAACTTGCAGCCCACGGGCCACATGCGGCCCACTGGGGCTCCCTCTGTCTGTCCCCCTCCTCCGCGCGCCTCTGGCACACTGGGGCATGGGAGCTTGTACTTCCTACTCCTCCATCTCCCTCCCAGCACTGTTGGGGGAGCCGGGAATCTGCTGATTCAAGCTCCGGCCCCAGCCCCTCCTCCAGCTGGAAGACCACGAATCAGCTGTCCACAGCTGTTCCAGCACGGAGGGAGGGAGAGAAGCGCCCCGGAGTAAGCGCTCTGACAGTGCTGGCAGGAAGGAGGAGGAGCAAGTAAGCGCAGGGCTCCAGTGTGCAAGAGGAGCATGGGGAATGGGGGGCAGAGAGAGGGTTCGTGGGCCACAGGCAGCCCACTAAGACACAGGAGGGCCATTTGTGCAGTCCACTCTTGGTTGCCCATTGCTGGTGCAGATGTTCAGGGCCCAGCTGCAGGCCGGGCTTTCAAATCTGGAACGTGGGGAGAGTTTTGGAGCCCGAGCTCCATCCCGAACCCCTGCCCCTCTTGCACACTAGCTCTTTTTTGAAGCCTGTTAAAGTCCTGGCCTTCACTACATCTTCTGGCAAGGAGTTCCACAGGTTCTCCACTGACCTGCACTTCGGGGCTTAGCACTATAGGTTGGCCTATGACGTGCAGGCACACCCTCCGAGATGTTCGGCTGGGACCCAGCGCCACACAAAGCTGGGAACAAGGGAGACACACGCAGACGCCAGTCGCCAAACCAAATGGTGGAGAGAGAGCATTTGATCCTCATCACCTTTCCGCCACTGGATCCATGTGCCAGCGAAGGCCAGCCGGTGCTCGCTGGCTTGTTTCCGCGGATCAGAGCGGGCTGCTACAGTATCTCCCTCTGGATCATAGGGGAGACGGCCACTGCCGGAGCTTTCTGCAGCCCCACCAGTAGTCGTCGTCTGCCAAGCATGTGGCCAGCAGATACCCCCCGCCCACAAAGCCTCGGGCAACCAGATCCGGGCTGCACCCAGCTTCCAGGCAAGGCAGCCGAGTCTCCAAGACATCACCCCTGATTTCTTCAGCCTCCCAGTCAACCAAACCCAGTTCTCCCTGGATGTCCTGGTGTTTTTCCCCTCTCTCCTAAGATCTTTCCCAGGGGAAGCTGGGATTGTTCCCTCCGAGGAGGCCTGTGACGGGGGAGGGAAAGTGAGTCAGATGCCAATGTAGATTCAGCCCCGTCTGTGGGCAGATGCTGTCGGGCAGCAGTTCCCAACTGGGATCTGGGGGTCCACAAGCAAGTTTCAGGGGGCCTGCCATGGCTGGCATCAGACTCACTAGGGCCCAGGGCTGAAGCTGAAGCCTGAGCAACTTAGCTCGGTGGTGCCCTAGGAGCTGCTCCTCCTGCCAGCCCCTACTGGGGCCTGAGCAGAAAAAAAAGTTGGGATGTGGAGGGCTCGGAAAGAAAAAGCTTGAGAGCCCCCTGCTGTAAGGAAGAAACGAGATTATTCAAAAACCCTGACCAGCAGCTTGGAGAGAGATCGTGAGTCCAGCTGCTGCTGCCACCAGTCTTACCCAGGCGCAAGTCCCTGGGTCAGACCAAATGTCCATCTAGTTCAGTGTCCTTCCGACGGGGGCCAATGCCAGGCACCCCCAGAGCGGATGAACAGGGAATCATCAAGTGATCCCTCCCCTGTCACCCATTCCTGGCTTCTGACAAACCAAGGCTAGGGACACTATCCCCACCCATCCTGGCTAATAGTTAAAGTCCTGGCCTTCACAACATCCTCTGGCAAGGAGTTCCACAGGTTGTCTGTGCGCTGCATGAAGAAATACTTCCTTTTGTTTGTTTTAAAGCTGCTGCCTATTAATGTCATTTGGTGATCCTTCATGCCTATGTGCACCAGAATGAAATCTCTTCCTCTTCTCCGTTGGCATGGAGAGTCATTCGTGGTAAGAGGGCTGGGTTAAGGAGAAACCCCCAGGGAGGCTTGGCAGGCTAGCCGGATGGCTAGAACCCCGGCTGTCCAAACGCCTTGCTTGCATAGAAGGAAACTCAGCTCACAGCTGGCTGTGACTGCAGCATGTGGCTGGGCAGCGAGGAAAGGAAGGTTTCACGCTCCCCCTTTGTGTGTGACTGGGGCCCAGATGGGGGAAGTCTGGAGCATAAACCAGAGCTGAGCCCAGCCCTCGGGCGCCAGTCTGGTGCCGCCATGCCAGGGCCATTCTGCCATCACAGGGCAGAGGAGTTGTCTCCCGGGGATGCCCCCACCCAGCCCCTTTAATCAGCATCGTGCCAGGGTGGACTTAAATGAAATCGACATTTATAACCCTTCCTCCCCCCCCACACACACTAGCTCCACCTTAAAAAGCTCCGGGCACGGCATTTTCCACCTTAAGAGTGCCCCAGCCAGGTTCCTGCCAACTCCCGAGATGCACCAGGCCGGGGAGGTTGGACTCCGAGCTGCAGCCACTTGGATGCACCTCCCCTGCCATGCGGGCTAGGGCTGAGCCTAGGTGCTTGCACAGGGAACGGAGAACAAAATTCTCCCCTGCTCCCCAGGAGCAACCACCTGCAGGAGATGGGAGGGAGCAGAGGCCGGAGGGGGGGAGAGGGGAGGGCAGGCGAGGGAGCTCCCCCTCCGCAGCCTATCACAGGCTGGCCGGCCCCACCCGGCCCCAAGGGAGAGAGAGACACATGGCTGCAGGAGGAAAGCCGGGCAAATGAAGTCATGCCGGGTGTCCCTGCAAGCCTGCCTGGGAACGAGCCCCGCCCAAAGACTCTGGACCGGACGGAAAATAATGGGGCGGTTTGACTCACTGCGGTGTCACAGCCCAGGGACTGGGAGGGGAGGATGAGCACATGCTCCCCAGTGCAGGGGGGCAGGGAGGAATGCCAGGCCCATGGAGTCAGAGAACGAGGCCAGGCGCGGCCTTTCTGCCGCACCCAGCCCTGTGCCATAGGAAGGGGGGCCAGCCCCACTCGTACACTGGCTCTGTACCAGAATGACAGCACCCCACAACGTGGCCCTGCACAGCAGTCCCCCCCACACAGCCTGGGTCCACCAGCTCCTAGGTTCTGCTCTGCCACAGGGCACCCCATAACTCACCTGGGCCTGCCACCACTCCCCCCCACACAGACTCCTGGCTCCAGGAAGAGAGAGCGCCTCACAGCCCCGCTGTGCCACCCCCCTCCCCCCGACCCGGCTGCATGCCACAGGGAGAGAGTTCCCCCACCCCCAAGTGTCCGTAATGGTTCCCCATAGTTGCTGGCATGAACATGCACTGGGGAGCCAGGTGTGTCCCCCCACGGTTATGCCCAGGCTGGCAGATCCTCTGCCCCTCTGCCCACAAGCTTCCCTCATATGGACCGCAGCAGGTGCCGGCCCATATTCCAGTCAGTCCCCCACAATCATCTTAACTGCGTATCCCCTGGCCTGGCTGGCCCACGCACACGCAACAGTCGCCTGCCTCTGCGCCCGCTTGCCTCTCCTCACAAACAACCCCACCCTCGGGTTCGGCCGTGTTCCTTCTCCTCCCACATTCATGGGCCCACTCAGATCTTATTCCGCTCGTCTTTCTCCTGCCCTTGTCCCTTTCTCCATGGGGC